ATAAACACTATTTATTTAAATAAATATAAATATATTTATTTAAATAGATAGTGTTTGTTTAAACTGAATTTTTAAAAATGTTTATTTCTGAACCTTTCTTTATGGACCACAGTCACCAGCACTGGCCCGGGAAGTCTAGAAATTGCAGTCCAAAAAGCCAAATCTGCACAGCTCTGATCAAGATTCATTACAGAAGTGGAAAACCTGGTATTTCTGGTAAGGTAAGGTCATTCCCTCACAGTTTTAACTTTCCTAAGTGTAATTCAGATCCTAACATAGAAACTAGAATTGCTCAAGCTTGCCCAAATCCTTTGAAGTTTCTTTTTTCTTCATGTGCAGAAAAGAAGCAAAGGAAGATTAAAAAGTGGGCAAGAGAAGCTTCCCTTTGAGAGTCTGAAAACAACAACAACCCAGTATCATCTCATCAGTACTGTGTAAATGGCTACAAGGAACACTTAAAGGGAAACAGAATCATAGGCTTTAGGGTGCCATTAGGTAGCCCTAAAAGGACGCTAGGGTGCTGCTCAAAGGAAAGAAAGTACAGTACATCATTGACTAACACCACAACCTACAGAGCACACCATTGGCTTGGCAGGTGGTTAGACTTCCAGAATTTCTGGTGAGGACGTGACAGGTATTGGGCAATCCAGCACAACAGATTTTCTCTCTAGAGCTGCTGGGCCACACCGCCATTCTCTCTAACAACTGACTCAGGCGATTACATGATGATAGAAAACAGAGACAGCAAATCTACTCTCATCTTAAGAACCACAGGACCTTCTTCTCATTTTTAAGAGACATCCAGGGCAGCCTTTCTGCTCCTCCCCGGCCAAAATATGAACACTGATTCCCATGGTTTGCAGAAGTAAAAACAAACAGCACAGCCTAAAGTCTGATTCTCCATAGCTTCGAACAACAAATTCAGGTGGTTACGCGAACATGAATTGAGCACACGATTCAAGACATGCACTCATGTTCTCGTTATGACAACTTTCTAAAGGCAAAGAGTTCAAGCTTTCTCACAGGTGCAGAACTTGTCATGATTCCCGCTGACGGCAAAAACTAAATTATCCAGAGAAGTTTTCACTTGTAACTTGATAGTTTGGACACAGGTGAGCAACCTCAGGGGCTAGGCGATACCTGGCTCCTGAGTTCTCTGTGCCACCATAAGCCTTGTATAATTGTACTTCTGAATGTGTGATACTGTTTTAAACTGAGGTGCACACTTTCCATGCATCCTGCTTCCAAAGAAAGATTCACATCTGCGTTTTTCTCCTTTTTTTTAACTGGCAAAGGGTTAAGGATTTTCAGGCCACACATTGTCCACTCCTGCTTATCTTTTTAAAAGGTGATGAAACAGGTCTAGACAGGTTGCACTGAAGGGGGGGCTATAATGACAGCTGCTTTTTATCTGAATGCTGCTCTTTAACGAAAGCAGAAGAGACTACACAGATGATAGCTAGTGGGTTACTGGCACAACACTACAGCTTCCATTAAATGTCGGAACACATGTGCTATACCAGGCATATACATCTCATACCACACATTGAACATAAGTAGATTACCTCCAGATTTCCAAAAGCAAACATAATACAGTATTTTAAGTTGGCCACAGCAGGAAATAGTAAGTCCTACCTTTGGCTTCACAGGTTCTAGGAATTCAATTTGAAATTGATACACATTATCCCCCTTAGCTCCATGGCCATGAGCTGCAAGAAAAGAAACAGATACTCTATTTTATAGAATTCGAGAGGGGAATTGCAGGAAATCTTGCTTTCCATTAATCTCATTTCCACTGCAATCCAGAAATCAAGTTAACTGTCAAGCTGCTGTCCTTGTTTAATAAAAAGAACTCAGTGAAGTCTATTGAGCACAGGAACAAGAACAGGAAAAATGAAAAAACAAACACTGGAAATTGGCTAATATCCGTTGAATCTGGATCTTCGGTCAGTCCAGCCACAAATCTAAATGTCCCCCAGGCACACAAGATAAGGAAGATAAGGCTACTCCTCTCATCAGATCTGGTGTCAGGGAACTCTTATAAGTTCCTATTTACAAGGAATAATTTATATTCTCAGCTCGCATTTCAGGACAGTGTGTGCAAGAACAATCTAAGACACTTGGTTGAAATGATGGATAGTTTTGAAGCACCTTTTAGATTTACAAGCTTTGCTCGACATTAGTTTTCTCAATGGTAGGTAAGCACCTATCATCAGAGGACAACAATGCTTATGCCATATAAGATTTTAAGGTACTATGAGACTGGGTTTTTTGGGGGGGGGAGTTACAACAAAGGGATGTGGTGGCGCTGCGGGCTAAACTACAGAAGCCTTTGTGTGCTGCAGGGTCAGAAGACCAGCAGTCGTAAGATCGAATCCACGCAATGGAGTGAGCTCCCATTGCTTTGTCCCACCTCCTCGCCAACCTAGCAGTTCAAGAGCATGTAAATGCGAGTAGATAAATAGGTACCACCTTGGCGGAAAGGTAAGCAGTGTTCCATGTATAGCCGCACTGGCCACGTGACAACGGAAAGTGTCTTCGGACAAACGCTGGCTCTACGGCTTGGAAACAGGGATGAGCACCGCCCCCTAGAACATGACTGACTAAAATGTCAAGGGGAACCTTTACCTTACTTTACAAGAAATTAATACTGGGAACCCCCCATGCTAAGTAAATTTATACAAATGCAACATGGCAGGTTTTGCAAGTGATGGAATGTGTTGCAGGTTTTTGGATATAAGGCAAATTAACACTGGGAATTGTCCTCAAGCAAACAAAGCATTTACATAGGAATCCACTTCCCTTTCAAAACAAATGGTAGTTTCTTTTCTAACCAACTGCATACAAATTGTTGCAGAAGACTGCTAAATAAGAAAACAGGGAAATGTGGAAATTTCCAACCATCCTTACATGATTGTGCTACATCTATGTGAAAACACATATTAGAACAGGCCAAACAGACTCTTAGCATGTGCACAGCAACACCACCATCATTTATTATTGGTTGGTATGCTAAGAATTCAGAATTGTAGTCTCATGTGCAAAACTTATGTTTTTAATCACCCTCAAAATATTGGTAACAGGTGAAAATCGTGAATTACTTTAAAGACACATCATACTTGGGCTGAAATTCTGTTGCTCAGCACAGTAAATCTCACTAAAGGAAGCCCACTGAATCAGTGGAGATTTGGGAGTCAACTCCTCTAAACGATCCATTGATTCAAATGGGCCTACTCCAGTTGCAGTCTAGAAGAATCAATGCCACTTACAAAAGAGTAGAAACGCCAAATCCCCAACGATTTAGTAAGCCTACTCTTGTACAACTTTGCTACACTAAAGAACATGCTTTCTTTGCTAATCCCTTTTATTATATTCCCTAGGGAAGCAAATCATGTCATCAAAGCTAGAAAGTTTCTTGGAATTCATGTAATTCTTTTCTTACTTAATTCAGGCTACAATTACAGCATTTCTCTCTTTAAATACTGACACGAAAAGAGAACCTGTGACTTTTCATTACCCACTGGTTCTAGTGCTGCCCTCTGAAGTTAATAAATAAGTCTGGCAATATATCCACACTTAGGCCCAGTTCTGCAGACCAGCTTATATAGATGGAGAAGCTCTGTATCGGTTACTAATGCAAGTGAATCAGCAAAAGCAAATAGCAAACTTTATAAAGGTTTCCTTCCTTTCCACCACTTTTTCTAAGATGATATTGAAAAGGGACTTACCTTTGAAATGGAGTACATTATCTATAATTGTGACATCAGGATCCTAAGAAAAGAAAATTAACGTATAGCTGGTAAGATTTTTATTTACTATTAACCCATTTGTTTTGAGTTAGCAGAACCTGAAATGCCATTGCAAAAAGGACCCAGAACAGGTTCTGTTAGTTTGGTTTATTATTATTATAGCCCATGACCAGCAAAAGACATTGGACACCATATAGTTAAATTTACAAGGCAACTGCAATGCTAAAACAGAGGGGGAAAGAGATAAAGGAAAGTTATAGCTTAAAATCATTATCATTAAATCTTTACATCTCTTGCAGGCAGCTGTGAGAAATTGTGTGCAGGTAAGTGTAGTCTGAGGATTAAGATCTAAAAGTTGTTTGTGCCAGGTCTCTGTTTCAGGACAGCCCAAAACAGTTTCTGCATGGGAGGGAGGGGGGGAAGTATGGTTCTCCAGATATTGCTGGACTGAAATTCCCATCAGCCCTACCCAGCATATCCAGCGGCAGGGAATGCTGGGAGTTGCAGTCCAATAACGTCTAGAAGACTGCACTCTGCCCCTTGTTACATTAGCATGGATCTAAAGAAGCATCAAGACAGCCTGAATGCAAATAGGTGCCATATTCCCCCAATAAACCAAGGGGGGGGGACCTCTTTTAGCCTGGGGGGCTGAATTTGATTTCAGACACATTCCTGGGACTGCATTTCAGAAGTGGCAGAAGCAAAGGATAAGATCCAAAATGCTGCCAAATTCTAGCTTAAATTCTTGCTGCCAGCGTCTAAACTTTAAGAGAGGTAATTTGACATTATAGAACAGGAAAACAGCACCTACAAAAGATGGGAAATGACTCCAACGGTGGTGTCATGGGAAACAGAGCTTGCCCTTTTTGAGAACCCCACAGAGCCAGATTAGAATCCTCCAAGGGATTCTGCCACAGAATCTGCAATTCCCCACTCTTGCAATGTTTCTGGATGAGAAAGGTCTTTGGAATTACAAGAAATGTAAGTCTCCTTTAACAACCACAGAAGAAGAAGAAGAAGAAGAAGAAGAAGAAGAAGAAGAAGAAGAAGAAGAAGAAGAAGAAGAAGAAGAAGCAGCCATCAAGTCAATTGACTTCTGACAACCCTTTTTAAGGTTTTCCAGGTAGACAGTACTGTACCCAGAAACTGTTTACCATTCCCTTCTTCTGGGGGGGGCACCCTGGGACTGTGAAGATTTCCCAAGGCCTGTGAAGCTTGCCAAAGCTTACCCGAGGCATGCACAGTGGGGAATCAAATTCCCAACCTCTGGCTCCACAGCCAGATACCTATATCATGGACATAAAGGTGTGTAAATTTATGCTTTTTGAACTAAAACTCCCAGAATTTCAAAAAAAAAATAAATCTCCACACTTGTACTCCCTTCTGCCTGGATACAGAGGCCAAAGTGGCAAGGAGATTTCATGGCAAGCTATTTTGGTGAACCGGATCTTGATCCTGCAAATCTCAAACAACTCAAAAAGCTACCATTTGCAAAAACTAGTTCCCAGCTGGTCTTGGCTGCAACTGGACAAACCTCGAAAAGCCTGTTAAACAGCCCCCCCCCCACAACCTGGTGCCCTCCAAATTTCTGGACTATAATTCTGTGGGGGCAACAGAACCTCTGAGACAAACATCTGCAGTTAGACCTACACAGAACTTCAACCTTAATTTTATTTTCATTCTCTCAATGGCATTTTAACCTAATCTGCTGTTCACCTTTGTGAGTCCTATAGGTGAGTCCTATAGGAATTACCTTTGACCAGAACAGCAGAATGATCTTTAACCAGCACCTTTAAAGAGCAAACATTTCAGTGCCTTTTAATGCACCAGGTCTGCAAAATCCTGGGGGAGAAAGGGAGTTCTACAGAAGGGGTGGATAAAGCATTAATCTGGGGGAGGGGGGGAGGAGAGAACTAGTCAAGTGGTGCAGCTTGGTGTGTGTGTGGAAGTAGAACCCTCTCCCCCATTTCCCATGGAGACAAAACAGAATGGAGGATGCAGGAACCCACGAAGCGGGTCCCCAAAACCTTTGCAAGGCGCTTTAAACCGTGTCCGGCCCGTCTCCGGTATGGGTCCCTCTCCGAGAGGGGAGCCGAGGCTCGGCTAAAAGGACGAGCAATCACGGGCCAGGTCTCCGTGCCTAGCGGCGTTGGCCAAGCCCCTTCTCGCCCAAAGGGCGACTCCACCGAGCCATCCCAGAGGAGCCCTGGGCCCAAAGGAAGAGGTGCCCACGAGCCTCGCCAAGAGGGCACCTGCCGGCGAGAAGGTGAGGGGGGGAAAGGAAAGAAAGGGACCGAGGGGCAGCTGGGACGAGGCGCGAAGGTGCTGGGGGGGGGCGCGAGCACTCCCAGGAGGTCTCCGACGAGGCG